TGCCAATGTAGACACAGCCGGGAAGTCCAACCTATACTGAAGGTGATTTTGAATTTAGTTAATTTTAATTCTAAATGAAACTGATATACACTGAACCCTTGTTTGAAATAACTTACGTATGATTTTTTTTAGGCTACACTAAATTCTCTGTACTCCAGCTAAACTCCAGCAGACCAGACTTAACAAACACCAAGTAATTTATGAGACTACATCATCTGTGTATTAGTTTTAATTACATACTCACAGGCTTCCTCTCAAAAGCCACAGAGGCAATGATAAAAAGAATGATTAAATGATTATGTCTGTAACCACAAGGGTACCTCTACACAGCACCCTTACTTCAAAATAAGTTATGCAATTTGCGCTACACAAATTGTGTAGCTTATTTCAAGGCTATTTCAAAATAGCTAATTTCAAAATTTGACACTGTCTATACAGTGCCAAATTTCAAAATAAAGTGCTATTCCAACAAGTCCTTTAATTCTCGTGGAATGAGGGTAACAGGGACGCTGGTATAGTGCACACGTTATTTCTAAATGTATTTAGAAATAAAGGGCATGTTTAAAAATATGGATTTGCTATTTCGAGATACTTCCGGTATCCTGAAATAGCCCCGCTGTCTAGACATAGCTTAACTATGTGGTTACTACTTAAATCTCCACAATAGACACATGTGTAATAGAAATCTGTAAACCTGGAAAAAAAGGCCTATATATAAAAAGTTCAGTAGAATCTGTCATACTGGATCAACCAATGAGTCATCTGCTTGTGTGCCCTGGAAATAGTCAGTACTGGAAGCTTGAGAAGAAGGTGTATGGAAACCCCTTTATGCACCATTATCACCACCACTTAGAGAAAGTTTCTTCCTAACCCAGTAGTTTTGCTTTTAAGGACCATTTTGGTTTAGGATGGGTATGGAGATTGGTAGTTCCAGGAGGGAGTGTGATTTGGGTAGGTGGAGCAATGCCTACTAGACAGCTAAGGAGCATAGCCACCTTGCCAGCCTGCTCCATGACATAGGATCCACTGACTAGTTGTGAAGAAATGAGCTTATAACTCTTCACCTTTGGACAAGCCTTGTATGTACCTTGTGCTTTTCAAATAAAAGGAGTGAGATGTGCTACAGGTGCAGGAAGGGTTCCCCAATGGCACAAGCAAACCCCAAATGATCAAACAGTACCACTTCACTTAATTAGGCACCACTAGCATGCAAATAAACAAAGACATACTTCAATGAGATCAGGGCCCTGCTATGTTAGAAACAGTACCTTCACACAGTGAGGGTTTGTCTACACTACCACCTTAGTTCGAACTAGGGTGGTTAATGTAGGTAACCGAAGTTGCAAATGAAGCCTGGGATTTGAATTTCCCAGGCTTCATTTGCATATTGCCGGGCGCCGCCATTTTTAAATGTCCGCTAGTTCGGACGCCGTGCCCGCGGCTACACGCGGCACGGAGGAGGTAGTTCGGATTAGGCTTCCTATTCTGAACTACCGTTACTCCTCCTGCAACGAGGTGTACCGGTAGTTCAGAATAGGAAGCCTAATCCGAACTACCTCCTCCGTGCCGCGTGTAGCCGCGGGCACGGCGTCCGAACTAGCGGACATTTAAAAATGGCGGCGCCCGGCAATATGCAAATGAAGCCCGGGAAATTCAAATCCCCGGCTTCATTTGCAACTTCGGTTGCCTACATTAACCACCATAGTTCGAACTAGGGTGGTAGTGTAGACACACCCTAACAGACTCTGCTCTAAAAATACTTACAATGTATCTCCTTTAAGTTCCAATTACTTAATTGCCATGAAAATACCTTTCTAACAGAGGAAACAAACACAGAGGGACACATGGCTAAGCAATGAAAGATACTTACATGCAGCCTGTTTACAGAAGTTAATACAAAGCTAGCATTCTCTCTCGAGGCCCAACCCGTATTCCACTTTTTCTTAAAGCTATCTATAAGTCAAGACAACGAGGGTCCTTATAGCAGGTAAGTCTATCACTCAGGTTTAGCATGTACATATTTTTCTCATTGCAAATTAATGTATAATAGAGACTACAATATAACAGAAAACATACTGAAAATTCATAGAAATGGCATGGGAAAAATTTTGTAATGGACTTATTTTCTGAAAAAAGACATTATTCACAGAATGTAGTAAAATGAAGTAAATTGGGCTTTGAGGAAAAATTGCAAGACTGTTCAATAAAAAGGCAATATAACAACACTCTTAAGGCAGCAGGTGGTAAAATTAAATATAAGAACATTCCCCTGAATAAAAACCAAAACTGTGAAAATACACTGTTCTCCGTCAACACAGGAACCAGAATGGATTCAGATAGTGGAATCTTAATTCTAGTCATGTCTCGAACACAAGAGATGAGAGTTAGAAAGTTAAAATGAGTACCACAGGAATATTGAAAAGGTTAACAGAGACCAGATTAACAAGTGAAGCATAGAGAAAGGATCTACCCAAAGTCTTCACTTAGGCATATCGAGGAATTTATCTGAGAAAAATGCTACTCATTATAGACTTGACCATTGACACATGTAACACATTTAATTAAATCAAGTAACTGCAAAATTTGCAAATTAATTCAGATTACCTTTGTTTAAACAGAGGCAAGGTCAACTTTTCAAAAAAGACTATTAATGGCATTCATAAGCCCAAATCACTTGAGAAAATGGGACTTGGTGTTTTTGAAAATGTGCCCAAGGAGTCTATTTTCAATTGCATATAACAAAAGGCTTGTGAGACCTCCAGATCAAAGTAAGTTATTAGAAGGGACTGGGCTGTTGAGTTGCTTTTAGGCCAGGTCTACACTACCAGAGAATGCCAACCTAAGATATGTAACTCCAGCTACAAGAATAGCACAGCTGGAGTCAGTGTACCTTAGGTTGAATTTCTGCTGTGTCCCCACTGTGGGAGTTCGTACCAGGATCGACAGGGGCACCATCAATGGTTGATTTAGTGGATCCTTACTCGACTCATTAAATAAAACGCTTGGAGATCAATCTCCATACTGCTGATCTCGAGGTAAATGAAGACAAGCCTTTGGAGAAGTGTTTTTGTGAATTTGGCTCAGTTTTTTGTGTACAAATATCACAATAGCAACCACCAGAAGCAGTACTAAGTCACACCTTAGACAGTCTTGGTTAGGATTATGCAGACATACAGAATGAAATGAATGAAATAAATGGGATTTCTCTACAACAATGACACAGGGTGTGTCTACACAGCACCCTTACCTCAAAATAAGGTACGCAACTTATTTCAAAATAGGTTATTTTGAAATTTGGTGCTGTCTGCACAATGACAAATTTTGAAATAAAGTATTATTCCAAAACATCCCTTATCCCTCATGCAATGAAGTTTACAGGGACGTCAGAATAGCGAGCCCATTATACAGTGGAGTCTGGATTAACTGGTAATCCGACACTCCGCTTTATCAGACCCTGCAGCTCCCGGGGACTTTGTCCCCGGCAGCTGCAGGGTCGGATACAGTGCAGGCCAAGAGAACGGCCCCGTTTGCTGCCCCGTCGCTCTCTAGGAGAAGCTGCTACTGCTGCTGCTGCTGCTGCTGCTGCCTGGAAGTGTCCTGGC